TCTACTCTCTCTCTCTCTCTCTCTCTCTCTCTCTGTCTCACCCCTCGATCTGCTTTCCTCCCTTTCTGATTGTTCTGTCTATATCCGTTTTCTGTTTCTCTCGTATTATCTCTAGCTCTTTCTCATTCCTTCTCTTCTCTCTCGTTTAATCTGCCCGACGGCCGTCCGTTTTCTCTCTTCTCTCGTCTCTGACGCTCTCTCTCTTCTCCTCTCTCTCTATATCGACTCTTGCGCTCACCTCCGTCTCTCTCTCTCTCTTATCTGATCTGTATCACACGCTTCGCGCGCACAACAGACGGACGGACACGCACGCACGGCACGCACTCACGTACGTACACACACACACGCACCGCACGCCCACACAAACCACACCGTTTAATAAATAAATGAACATAAAAAACGCACATCTCCCGACCACATATTTGTAGCTGACGAACGTGACCGAATGTATATATAACTTCTCTGACGTCTGCGTCTCTCGCGCCTCTCCTCGGGTAGAGATTCCCGATATATCTATTCTCGCTATGGAATAATACTTCCCAGTAAACGGCACCAACTGTGCGAAAACTCTATCTTGTAGAGAAATTATGCACCCAATCCAAGTTAGACCTGAACCTATTGTCTTACTTTGCGTATTCGTGTTCTGAAAACAAAAGACAACACGACGCGCTGCCCAACCCCGACTTGTCCCGCTCGCAGAATCAGCTGTGCTGTGCCGGCCGGTCTGCTGCCGTGCGATCTTGTTGGCCAGTATATTTAACGAGTCTAGCTCTCAGCATGCTCTCTCTCCCCTCTCTCTGAATCTTTCTTTCTCCCTCATCTCCTTTCCCTCTCCCTCTGTTGTCGTGTCTCTCTCGTTATCGCTCCCCTCATCTTCTCTTCTCTCTCTCTCTCTCTCTCTATCTCTCTCTCTCTCTCTCCCTCTTTCCTTTCCTCTCTCTCTCTCTCTCGCGCTCTCTCTTCTCTACTCGCTCTCTCTCTCTCTTTTTCTCTCTCTCTCTCTCTCTCTATCTCTCTCTCTTCTTCTTTCTCTTGTGTGTACGCTGGCAATGTCCTGTCCTCTGGCATGTCTTTGTGTGCGGTACTCTGTGTGTGTTCTCTCTTCTCATCTCTCTCTCTCTCTCTCTCTCTCTCTCTCTCTTTTCTCTCTTCACCTTCGCTCTCTCGCTTTCTCTCTCTCTACTCTTTTCTGTCTCTTCACACGCTCGCGCCGCACACATCAGACGGCACGACACGCCAACGCGACGCACCGCCACACAAACACACCAGTCTTAAACTATAGTAAATAAAAAAATAAAAAACCGCCACTATTCCCAGACCCCTATTTTGTAGGTGAAACGCTCGCATATTGTGCCGAATACGATACTGAAACCGGTGACAGCACCTCCTGTTATATATAAACTCTCTGCGCTCTGCGTCTTCGCGCCTTCCTCGAGGTAAGGTTCCTATATCATCTCATATGATACTTCCCCGTTACAACTCGCACAACGTGACGCGAACCATCCTATTTAGAATATGACCAATCCAACGTTACGTGAACATTATCTGTTCTCTACACCTTTTGAGATATTCGTGCGGGGAAAACAAAGACAAACACGACGCCGCCGCCCCACAACCGTGTCCGTCGCAGAATCAGACTGTGCTTGCGGTTATTCGTTCGTCAATTGACTTGGCCCAGATATAGAAGCGTTTATCATAGCTCTCAGATCTCTCTTCCCCTCCTCTCATTGAATTCTTTCCCCTCTTCCTCGTATGCGGGCGTCCTCATCTCTCCCCCTCGATCCTCCGAGCTGCCTCTGATCCTGTCTCTCTTCTCTCTCTCATCCCTATCGCTCCCTCTTACTCCTCTCTCTCGCTCTCTCTTCTCTCTCTCTCTTCTCCTCTCTCTCTCTTCTCTCTCTCTCCTGCTCTTCCCTCTTTCTCTCTCGAGTTGTTGCGAGCATCGTCTCTCCTGCTCTCTCATTGTCTACTCCTGTGTGATTCCTCTGCTCTTCTGTGTGTGCTTGTGTCTCTCTCTCTACTCTTCTCTCTCTCTCTCTTCTTCTACTCTCTCTCTTCTCTCTTCTTCTTCTCTCTTCTCCTTCTCTCTCTCTCTCCTCTCTGTCCTACACCTCTCTCTCCCTCCCTCGGATACTAGTCTATCCGTCTCATCTGTTTCTCTCGTAATTCTCTCTAGCTCTTTCTCTGTCCTCTCTCTCTCTTCGCTCGTATTTGTTCTTCTCTCTCTCTCTACTCTCTCTCTTCTCGTCTCATCGTCTCACTCGCTCGCTCTCTCGCTCTCTCGCTCTAATCTCTCTCTCTCTCTCTCTCTACTCGCTCGCTCTTCTCGCTCTCTCGCTCTCTCTCTCTCTCTTTTGTCTCTCACACGCTCGCGCGCAAACAGACGGACGGACACCGCGACGCACGTTCGTAACGAGCACACGCAACGCACGTACGTACAACCTGCACACGCACGCAGCGTACGTACACGCACGCACCGCACATCGTAGTACACGCCACACACGCACACGCGACGCGCACACAACACACCACGGTTTTAAATAAATAAATCGAAAAATAACAAACCGCTCATCCCAGCCCAATTGTAGCGTGAATACCGTGAGCAACTTGCAACAACTCCTCTGCGCTGTGCGTTCTTTCGCACGTCTCTCATCGCGGTCGCGGAATTTCCCTATCTATCTCTATGTCTAACGACCTACTGGTGACGCTAGATCCAATCATCGTCGCCCGTCAGGAAATGCTGCCAGTACCATAGTGACGTGTCGAACGGCCGGGCGTGTGCAAAGCGCGCGGCTGCTAATCCAAAAGAAGACCACACACGAAGTCAGCGCTATGTAGGATACGAACAAGAATTTCTACTGTTCCAACAATAATCAGCTTTGAATTTCCACCAGTAAGGCTAAAACCGTAAATTATATGATTTCTTTCGCGTATAATTTATGTGTTAATTTATGCTAAGTACCACCATCTCTACTCGTCGTCTCGTAATTGTGGTATCATATAGCGGGGCTATGATTTGGGGACATGTACCCTGGGAGCCATATGTACTGGGCAGCTACAACGTGAGAACATTAGTGTCAGCAGGGCTTTGCGTCAATTCACTGCCATCATCAGGACACCCATTTATAGTAACGTCTTGGAATTGCTGGCACGTGAAGGTACATGTAAGTATTTAGCCGCAGGTCGTTACGGGAGCGGTAAATGCGATTTTCGCTAACCTAGCGATATCAGGCGTTATCCTTCGTTACTGCTGGACAATCACTGACTTGAAATAAAGTAGAACTATAAAACTTTTGAATGAACAGAATAGTTAACGTTGCGTTACTATACAATACTAAAATACAACTAACGCATACATACCTTACTTAAAGAATATCCTATATAGTCGGGGATGATGACAACGCAACGAATGACAAGAACCCATATACATTGACAAGATATTAACAGATTCAACACTGCATTTGCGGAATTGCAAGCGATGAACTTGGACAAGACAATATTTCCTTTTATTGAAAAAGCAGAACGATGCAAACAAACGGCACAAGAATCTAAAGGGTTTCCCTGAGAGGAAGCGATCGGCAGAGCATGCATTACCAATATAGAGAGCAGATACCACATCCTATCATAATGTCGGAATGCAAATCATCAAATACATCTTAATGATTTAGCAATATTATAAGTTTACATTGTTAAACCTCACATACAGCACAGTAGCTATAGGTAATATTCAATGATCTAGATGGTAACAACTGCCAGATTATACAATTATTTACGTGACTCTTATATCTTATAATTATCTACTTAATTTCCAGTGTATCTTCGGATGTCATGGCGCTTTACAGCATCAACAGAGTCAGGACGCTACCTGAGGACAAGTTTGTTGTGTTACATTTTAGTGATCCAGTAAGTTTTTACAATACCATTGGTTATTGAACAACCTGTTATATAGGCGTACGTGATCAGATGATAATATTGACTTCATTGATGTTAATTGTTCATTTATCTGGTGACATGCATGATGTATCACTAGAAATTCATAATGCATATCTCGTGATCTGTAAATAGTATATTAAAAAAATGTGGACAACCTATTACCTATGGCATTTTAAACTCGAGTGTTATGCTAAACAAATGTTTACTAATTGAAACGACTACAGTGACTAACGCTCATAAGGTCTATGTCTCCCTGGGTACTGCCGGACACTGCGGCTGCTGTTGTTGTTGCTGCTACTAATGTTGCTACTAACTGCTGTTATTGTTGCTGACATCATTGGCGCCCACAGGTCTTAAGAAAGTAGAAGCACAGAAGGATAAAATCCTCAGTGATAATAAAAAGCAAGCGCCGTAGGCGCGCTGCATGCTAGGGGGGTCTGGGGGCATGCCCCCCTGAAAATTTTTGAATGGTAGACGTCTGGAGATGCAATCTGGTGAGTCTTGCGATTGAAGTTGCGAGAGAGATTTAGGAACAAAATGTAGGAACAAAATTGTTTAACTCAAAATTTACTGGAAGCACTGTGCTTCCAGTGCTTCTATCTGTGGGTGCCACTGGCTGACATTATTGTTTCTTGATTGTTGATTGTTGGTATTATTGATTGTTGTTATTGACAACAGCAACCACAGTGTCCGACAGTACGCAGGGAGACATAGACCCTGTCAGCATGACTAACAAAGATGGTTGCTTAATTGGCATGATAAATAGGGGCTGCGAATGGATTGATGGGTTTGGTAATTCCGAGAATGGCATGGAGAGTAAACTAAGATTGAATTTGAAAACTGAAATTGGGTATTGATTCGGAGAGGCCGAAACGAGGGGTATTTCCCACAACATAGATATTTGTTGTATGAATAACACTTCATACACGAGGTCTATATACATGGAGTTCGGCAACTATATTTAAAATACAGTGTTGTTATCTGATGGGTGACAGACCGTTGCCTTCATGTTAATTACAAAATTTTGTAAGAGCGGAAGGCATGAAATAGTATTTGCTATCCCGTAGAGCATACAACAACTATGTCAGTGATGTGTTGGATCGGCTACTGCAGCATGCATTCACACCAGATGTTGTGTTTGTGAACAGTGGTGTGTGGGACCTGACAAGGTGAGTGTTGTAGTGCAGTGTGTACAATAACATACCAGGAGCATGTCACTCATTATAGTACATACAATCATAAACTATGAAAAACCTGCTCATAATTATGTTCAAAAAACTTAGATTCAAACGGTAAAACTGACGCCAATTTAGGAATTGTACAGCTTCACTTTCCTTCCTATATAGCTTGTGGATAATTTGATTTTTGCGCTCTCACGAAACTATTTAGCATTAAGTTATGGGTATAGGTTCTCTTTGCTAACAATACATACTGGATGCAATCACAGACATACGTCGAGTGCTCTCTGTGCATATTATTTTAACTAGGTATGAAACAGTCATGGTGCCGCAAGAGTATGCACTACTATCACATCCTGATTGACCTCTCATATGTGTAACAAATCCTTGCATATTTTCACTGTGAGTGACTTTGTAGACACAAGTGTTGCCAAAGCCTACAAGGCAGTAGCTAGGGGGGAGGTGCAAGGGGGCAGTTGCCCCCCCCCCCCCCCCAGAGAAATGTAGATATGTACATTACATATGGTCAATGGCGGTTACCTTCCCAGAACACCACTCGCACGTAGCTTTGCTCTCCCCAGGCAAAATGTATTAGCTACGCTCCTGGCCTACCTACACCCTTCATACAGCTTTTATATGCATACATCTGCTTTAATCGTAAAATCCATCCACAGGTATGGTAGAGGAGAGACAGTATTTAAAGAGTACCTGGCAAATTTGCACAGATTGTTCCAGCATCTTAACAGATTACCGGAGGAAACTCTGGTGATATGGAACACCACGCTGCCCGTGTCAGATAACATCAAGGGTAAGGTTGCCATGGCAACGGCATTATATGTTGAACGTCACCACAAACATCGCCATCCTACCTGGATAGTCTTATCATATCAATGTTTCTTTAAACTTAAAAAAAAATTTGATTGTCGTAAAAATCATAATATTACTTTTTTTATGTCGTGTGTTAATGCGTTCTAGCATTACTCTCAGCTGGCTACGTAAACTGATGAGGGCTGCAAACTTTTTTTGGATGACTGGCTGTTTTACCGTGGCATGCTGTGTTTTTAATGCTAACCATAGTGAATACGTGGTGGCGGTGGCGATATCAGCAGTAGTGGTGGTAGCATATCGACAGCAGCGATCATTTGTGTGTTTTGTCATGTTATATGTGATTTCATAGTAAACGTGAGAACAATATCTAGGGCTCGGGTAGGTCGATTTAAAGGCGTTTGTTCTGCATATAATTCTGCTTTAAAATGGATAAACCTCGCAACAAAAAGCCTATATAGATCTACTGTGAGCATACTTGCAATGTGCAAACATCACGAAATGTTCTCATTGAGCCAGAGAAGTGCTACAAACATTGGAATTTTCAAATTCGCGTCAGACGCAGTAATGTCACAGCTAGCAGTAGCCCTACGCTAGCGCAAATAGTTCCTGGAACGAAAACACTATATTTGTTTCCTGATTGCATAGGTAATATAGATAACGATATGATTTAAACAAATTTCACAATTTTGTACTGAATATAAACATCGAATAATGAATTATAACTTGTCTTATCATAGAAAGGAACTGTTAATGAATCGAGCCGATTGCTCCGCTCTGTCCTGGATGTGTAAACATCACTGTGGTGCTACTTTCGTAAGAGAAGTTGTTTCGTTTAGATTTTGAGAAGAAATGTTATGAAAGTAGCAATACAAATGAGTTGTAGTGAATTTTTGCAGCATAGACGAGCTCACAGTAGGTATATATATGCATCTAGCTGCGAGGTTTATCCACGTTAAGCACCTGAAATACAATGGTCCCTTCGTCATGTATCTAAGAGACGTGTCACGTGGCAATGTGCGAGGTTTATCCACTTTAAAGCCCAGCACACACGTGAGTTATTTTACTCAAATAAAATGACGCACGAGTTATTTTACTCGCGTGTGCAGCGGATTTTCGTTGAGTAATTTGACTCATGCGTCATTTTACTTGAGTAAAATAACTCACGTGTGCGCCGGGCTTAAGGATTCATCATCACCACTCCAAACAGCCTACTCAAGCATCGATTCTGACCATTCGCAACTTCATCTGTCATCTCTTCCAATTTATCGAATTGTTTGTGTTTGATTCTGTCCCAAACACACTTACAGCTTGTACATACATGTGCATAGAGAAAAATCAGTTATGGACAGCTCTGTGCCCATGTGTGCACTTGTTGAGTGCGTGACACGACCCCCTTAAATGAGGTCGTATCTGCAGCAAGTCAACCCAGCATTTTTATAGACGGGTCAGTAGGTAAGGTAAGTATTTGTTTTTGGCCATTTGGGCCGCACACGTTGTATAGTTGCATACACACTAATTAACCAAATAAAAGCAATTAAAAAAAACTTCTCAAGCAAAGAAAGAAAATTCCCTGTCGGGTTAAGAAAATCACGTTGAGGCTTGCGCTGTACATGGGAAGTAAGTAACTCCTCGTGGCGTGACCCTCGTGGCGTGACCTTCGTCGCCCTTCGCCGTGACGCTCTCACTGTTTCGCAGGCGGATTTCTGCTGCCGGAGATTCAGCAGCTGAGCCTGATGCTGCGATACGACGTACTGGAGGCAAACTACGTCACCATGCAGATTGCCGACTCGTACGGCTGTGACATTCTTGACCTTAGTCACAGCCTACGCAGTATGATGCACATGAGGCGCGACGACGGCATACATTGGAACAACGTTGCGCACAGGTACGCGGTGGAGTAGTAAAAAGTAGTAATTGCAGCAGTAAGACAGTTAAACCTGCTAGCAGAGTAGTACATCACACAACCAGGTACCGTAGTGAGCGCACCGGCCGTGCCGGGGCTGGAGGTGTTAGAGTAAGTAGTGAGTGTGAGCGCAATGTCCATAAAACAGTTAACCTGCTAGCAGAGTAGCTAATCACACACAGGTACGAGTGTGAGCGCGCACGTGCGGGGGCGGAGGAGGGTTATGTAGAGTTAAGTAAGTAAGTGACGCGAGTAAAGACAGTTAAACCTCTAGCCAGATTTATAGTACATCACACACATGGTACGAGCGACTGCGCGAACGGCGCGGGCGGCAGGAAGGTAGGTAAGTAGCAGTAAAGTAAGTGAGTTGACGCGAGTAAAAGACAGTTAACCTGCTAGCAGAGTGTACATCACACACAGGTACGACGTGGAGCTGCTCCTGCCGCGCGGTGGGACGGAGGAGGGGTATAGTCGTAACAGTAGTTGACGTGAGGCGAGTTAAAGACAGTAACTCGTAGCCAGAGTTAGTACCATCACACAACAGTACGAGTGAGCGCGCGCTGTGCGGGCGGCGGAGGACGGTAGTAGAGTAAGTTAGTAGTGAGCGAAGCTAAAGGGACGTTAAACCTCGCTCGCAGAGTAGTACATCACAACACAGACGATTTGAGTCCGTGAGCGCGCTGCGGTGCGGGGGGCGGAGGAGCGTAGTAGAGTAAAGTAGTAAGTGACTGCGCAGTAAAGATAGTTAACCTGCCCTAGCAGAGTAGTACATCACACACGAGGTTACGAGTGACCGGCGCGCGCGTGCGGGGGCGGAGGAGCGTTAGTCTAGAGTTAAGTAGTAAGTGAGCGAGTAAAGACAGTTAACCTGCGTATCAGAGTAGTACATCACACACAGGTACGAGTGAGCGCCGCCGCTGTGCGGGCGGGGAGCGAGGTGTAGAGTAAGTAGTAAGTTGATGCGAGTGGCAGAAAGACCAGTTAACCTGCCTAGCAGAGTGAGTACACTCACACACAGGTTATGACGCGATTTGCAGCGCGCTGTGCGGGGGCGGAGGAGGTAGTTAGAGTAAGTAGTAACGTTGAGCGAAGTCAAAGACAGTTAAACCTGCTAGCAGGAAGTAGTACTCACACACAGGTTACGAGTTGATGCGCGCACTACGGCGCGCAGGGCGGGAGGGAGGTAGTAAGTAAGTAGTAAGTGAGCGAGTAAGACAGTAACTGCTAGCAGCAGCTAGTACTCACACACAGGTACGAGTGAGCGCGCACGGGCGGCTGGGGGCGGAGGAAGGTAGTAGAGTAAGTAGCTAAAGTGCAGGCGAGTTATGAGCAGTTAACCTGCTAGCAGAGGTAGCTACATCACACACAGGTCGACGATGATGCGCACACGCTGCGGGGGCGGTAGGAGTAGTTAGAGTAAGTAGTGAGTGAAGCGAGTAAAGACAGTTAACCTGCTAGCCAGAGTCAGTACATCACACACATCACGGTGACGCGTCGGCGCCACATGGGCGCGGGGGGCGGAGGAGGTAGTAGAGTAAGTAGGTGATCGTGAGTGAGTAAAGACAGTTAACTGCTAAGCAGTAGACGTACATCACACACAGGTATGAGCTGAGCGCGCGCGCGGGGCGGGGAGGTGGGGGGGGTAGAGTAAGTTACGTAAGTGACGCGAGTAAAGACAGTTAACCTGCTAGCAGAGTAGTACATCACACACAGGTACGAGTGAGCGGCCGCGCGTGCGGGGGCGGAGGAGGTAGTAGAGTAAGTAGTAAGTGAGCGAGTAAGAACAGTTAACCTGCTAGCAGAGTAGTACATCACACAGAGGTATGACAGTGAGCGCGGCGCGTGCGGGGGGGTGGAGGAGGTAGTAGAGTAAGTAGTAAGTGAGCGAGTTAAAGACAGTTAACCTGCTACAGAGTAGTACATCACACACAGGTACGAGTGAGCGCGCGCGTGCGGAGCGGGCGGAGGAGTAGTAGTGAGTAAGTAGTAAGTGAGCGAGTAAAGACAGTTAACCTGCTAGCAGAGTAGTACATTCACACACAGGTACGAGCGAGCGCACGCGCGCGGGGGCGGAGGAGGTAGTAGAGTAAAAGTAGTAAGTGAGCGAAGTAAAGACAGTTAACCTCCTAGCAGAGTAGTACATCACACACAGGTACGAGTGAGCGCCCCTCGCGGGCGGGGGCGGAGGAGTAGTAGAGTAAGTAGTGAGTGAGCGGACGTAAAGACAGTTAACGCCTGCTAGCAGAGTAGTACATCCACACACAGGTACGAGCGATGCGCACGCGCGGGGGCGGGGGAGGTGGTAGTAAGCAGTAAGTAGTGATGTGAGCGAGTAAAGACAGTTAAACCTGCTAGCAGAGTAGTACATCACACACAGGTACGAGCGACGCGCGCCGCGGCGGGGGGAGGAGGTAGTAGAGTAAGTAGTGAGTGAGCGAGTAAGACAGTTTAACCTGCTAGCAGAGTAGTACCATCAACCACTAGGTACGATCTGTCGAGCGCGCAGCGCGCGCGCGGGGGTGGAGGAGGTAGTAGGAAGTAAGTAGTGAGTGAGCGAGTAAAGACAGTTAACCTGCTAGCCAGAGTAGTACATCACACACAGGTACGAGTGCAGCGCGCGACGTGGCGGGCGGAGGAGGTAGTAGAGTAAGTAGTAAGTGAGCGAGTAAGGACAGTTAACCTGCTAGCAGAGTAGTACATCACACACAGGTACGATGTGGGCGCGCGCCGGGGCGGAGGAGGTAGTAGAGTAAGTAGGGAGTGAGCGAGTAAAGACAGTTAACCTGCTAGCAGAGTAGTACATCACACACAGGTACGAGTGAGCGCGCGCGGGCGGGCGGAGAGGTAGTAGAGTAAGTAGTAAGTGAGCGAGTAAAGACAGTTAACCTGCTAGCAGAGTACCTACATTCACACACAGGTACGAGTGAGCGCCGCGCGCGCGGGGGCGGAGGAGCGGTGTAGTAGAAGTAAGTAGTAAGTGAGCGAGTAAGGACAGTTTAACCTGCGCTAGCAGAGTAGTACATCACACACAGGTATGACGCGACACGCGCGCGCGGGGGTGGAGAGTGTAGTAGAGTCAAATAGTAGTGAGCGAGTAAAGACAGTTAACCTGCCTAGCCAGAGTAGTACATCACAACACACAGGTACGACGTGACGCGTTCAGCGTGCGGGGGGCGGAGGAGGTAGTAGAGTAGTTAGTAAGTGAGCGAGTAAAGACAGTTATAACCTGCTAGCAGAGTAGTCACATCACACACAGGTACGATGAGCGCGCGCGCGCCGGGTGGGCGTGAGGGTGGTAGTAGAGTAAGTAGTAAGTGAGAGCGCCAGTAAAGACAGTTAACGCTGCCTAGCCAGAGTAGTACATCACACACAGGTACGATGGAGCGCCGCGGCGCGGGGGCGAGAGGAGGGTAGTTAGAGTAAGTGATGTTGAGTGAGCGAGTAAAGACAGTTAAGCCTGCTAGCAGAGTAGTACATCACACACAGGTCACGAGCTGAGCGGCTACGCGCGGGCGGTGCGGGGACGGTGGTCCAGGTAGAGTAAGTAGTTGAGTGAGCGAGTAAAGCACAGTTAACCTGTAGCGAGTCCAGTAGTTACATCCACAACAAGCGTATTGAGCGGATGCACGCGCGCGGCGGTGGTGAGAGGAGGTCAGTGAGAGTAACTAGTAAATGAGCGAGGAAGACAGGTTAACCTGCTAGCAGGAGTAGTACATTCACACACAGGTACGAATGAGCGCGCTGCCGCGCGGGGCGGGGGGAGGTGGTAGAGTAAGTAGTAAGTGAGCGAGTAACAGACAGGTTAACCCTGGCTAGCAGACGCAGTACAATCACACACAGGTATGACGCGGCGCACGGCGGGGCGGCGAGGTGTTAGTTAGAGTAAGTAGTGATCCAGGTGAGCGAGTAAAGACAGTTAAACCTGCTAGCAGAGTTAGTACATCACACAACAGGTTACGTGTGAGCGCAGCTCTCGGGCCGGCGGGGGGCGGGGGAGGTCCGGTATGTAGAGTAAGTAGTGATGTCGAGCCGAGTAAAGACAGCTTAACCTGCTAGCAGAGTAGTACATCACACACAGGTACGAGTGAGCGCCGCGTGCGGGGGCGGAGACGGTCAGTACAGTAAGTAGTGAGTGAGCGAGTAAAGACAGTTAACCTGCTAGCAGAGTAGTTACATCACACACAGGTACGAGCGAAGGCGCGCGCGTGGGGGGCGGAGGAGTAGTTAGCGTAAGTAGTGATGTGATGCGCGTAAAGACAGTTAACCTGCTAGCCAGAGTAGTTACATCAACACACAGGTCGACGACGCCGCGCGCGTGCGGGGCGCTGAGGAGGTAGTAGAGTAAGTAGTGAGTGAAGCGAGTAACAGGACAGCTTAAACCTGCTAGCATGAGTAGTACAATCACACACCAGGTACGAAGCTCGAGCGCTGCCGGCTGTGGGTAGGGCGGAGGAGGAGTAGTAGAGTAGTAGTGAGTTGAGCGAAGTAAGACCAGTTAACCTGCTAGCCAGAGTAGTCATCACACACAGGTACGAGCGTCGCCGTGCGCGGCGGGCGGGTGCGAAGGAGGGGTAGTAGAGTACAGTAGTGGAGTGAGCTGAGTAAGTAAGACAGTTACCTGTCTAGCCAGAGTAGTACATCCACACCAGGTACGACGCGAGCGCCACATGCCGGCGGGGGCGGAGGACGGTAGTAGAGTAGTATGTGAGTTGGCGAGTAAAGACAGTATTAAACCTCCCTCAGACAGAGTAGTACATCACACACAGGTTACGAGCGGACGCGCAGCGCGCCCGGGCCGGTGTGAGGCGAGGTAGTAGAGTAAGTAGTGAAGTGAGCGTAGTAAAGACAGTTAAACCTGCTAGCAGAGCTAGTACATCACACACCAGGTACGAGTGATGCGGCGCGCGTCGGGGGCGGGAGAGCGTTAGTAGAGTAAGGTAGTGACGTGAGCCGAGTAAAGACAGATTAACCTGCTACAGTAGGTAGTACATACACACACAGGTACGAGCTTGAGCGCCGCGGCGGGGGTGGAGGACGGTAGTAGAGTAAGTAGTGGGGATGAGCGAGTAAGACAGTTAACCTGCCATGAGCAGGAAGTAGTACATCACACACGTAGTACGAGTGAGCGCGCGGCGGCGGGAGGGAGAGATGTGGTAGATCGTAAGTTAGTGAGTGAGCGAGTAAAGACAGTTAAACCTGCTAGCAGAGTAGTACATCACACACAGTTACGCAGTGAGCGCTGCGCGGCGGGGGCGGGGGAGGTGGTAGCTAGAGTAAGTAGTATGTGACTGCGAGTAAAGACAGTTAACCTGCTAGCAGAGTAGTACATCCACACAGGTACGAGCGTAAGCAGCCTGACGTCGCGCCGGGGGTGAGGAGGTAGCTAGAGGTAATAGTTGTGAGTGAGCGAGGTAAAGACAGTTAACCTGCTTAGCTAGAGTAGTTACATCACACACAAGGTCACGTGAGCGCAGTGTGCGCTAAGCTTACTCGCGTGCGGGGGCGGAGGAGGGTAGTAGAGTAAGT